CGCTACCTGGCATACAGCCACACAAGAACAGGGACAGGAGATTAATTTCTTCTGAGGTATGAGCACGATGCTTCAAAGTAGGCTTTGCTACACAGGGAAGGGAAGGGAAAAAAAATAGTCTGTGGACCTGTAGCAATTAAGGTGAGACCAGCTTTTTTCTTGCCCCAAACTACACATAGGCATTTCCAAAAGACATCATGTTCTTTGCGCTCTCCCATTACACTGCTATGCTGAGCAATCACATCTCATTTAAAAGTCACTATGTTGGTAGGAGTCCTATCAATTTCAGCAAATCAAAAGCACTGCCCTTTAAGGGATGTTAAAAACCAGAAAGACATGATTTCTTGCTTAGTCACGGATTTTTGGAAGAAACATCAAGTTCTTAACAATTCAGGGTCCTTACCCTGGGATTAAGGGAAGATTTGGTCCTGTGAGGGATTTTGTTAGCTCATAAGTCAAATCACCGAGAAAGAGAAAACACTAAAGGGGAAAATAAATGGGAGAAAAAGGGATGTCTCTTAAAACCCGATGATGAAGTCATCTCTGAAGGGTATTTCAGTCTTTCCCAGAAAAGTGCAGGGATTTCTGAACCACCTGCTTATTCACTGCTGCCAAAGAGACAAATGCAGTTTCATCTCCTTCAGAATATAATCGAGGGGGTGGAGACCACGTTAACATCATAGAAACATTTGGTCATTTATTCATCTGTCTCTTAAGGAAAGTATACTTTGACCCTTTAGATTACTTGTTCATCACCAAGAAGAGGACAATTTCTCCTTTATACGCAGAAAGACTGCATGTTCAGAAATGAGTAAGGTTTTTAAAGAACAGAACAGAAAACAAATTATAAAACAAACAAGAACATGAACACTGTGAATTCAAACTTTGCTGAGTGTGTCACTTGCAATAATTCGATTTACCACAATGTTACAAGGTAACTCATCCTCACTCCATTTTGAATCTGGAACTAGCCTACCAAGCTGCATGGAATCCGATGAGTCTGGGCACCCGCACATTGTGACTTCAAGCAAGATATCAGTGCAAAATCTTCAGTAAAACAGACACCTCATAACGTGAAGTAAAGCCCAAAAGTGCAGAACACACCTGTGCTCTTCAATTAGCACAATTATGGAAAGTTAATCTCTATTAATAAAGTACCCACTGCATGGTAGTCTGTGATTTCAGCAGACGTTCATGATCCGAATCGTCTCTTTCAATCTTCTTTTATTTTTGATGCAAGCAAGGGTTCACAATGTATCATATGAGAACACTGGCAAGTATTCTTCTTTCTTCTGTTCACATATCTACAATCCCTGCTGTTTAGTAATTGACCCAAAACAGATGAAAGATCACAAGTGCAAGTCAAGGCATGCACACCCAATCAAATCTTTCTTAGCAGTTGTTGTTTACTGTTTTCTAAGGCATCTCATACCGTCATCCTTCTTGGTGGTACAGAGTAACAAGGCTTAAATAAGTTTCTATACAGAAGTTTGCCACAAGATGCAAGAGTCAGTCCTCCAGGAGAAATCAAAGAGCGTCTCTGAACTACAAGCTCTATTACAAGAAGAAACACTTCTTCCTTACCTCTTTTTTTTGCATATATATTTTTTCTTGTATATCATTATAAAAATCTATGTGAAAATAGGTTGAACCAGATACGCAAAAAAGGCAAATTTTATGCTCATTAGTCTAATCTTGAGAGCCTGGTCTCACTATTTTGGGTGCCATGAGACAACTGATAATCACAGACTTTATGAGTTTATTAACATTTTTACTTTGTGGGGAAAAAAACCCAGTTGTTCTTCATTAACATTCAAGAACATGGAAGGAGTTGCTCAAAACAGAAAATAACCCAACACACCAAAATACACATGCGGAAAATTTCAAATGACTCTACTTCTACCTTGAATGTCTCACTACGGTCATTCAAAGGTTTAATAACATTGCAGAAAGCCAGCATTCTCTGGACTAGACTGGATGTTTTTTCTGTTTTCTGCCACGGTGCAAGGGCATGACAGAGTAGCTGATATTCTGTCCAGAATGTCAGGTGCACTTCGAAGGTTACTCCCTTAGATGGTGCCACATTTAGGGAGTCTGATAATTTGAGGGTGGTGAGAAGTTTCAAGGTAGGTGGATGGAATGTTTATTTTTGTCCATTTCTGAGGTCCTGCTTTGGTTGCTACACCAGCAGCTACACTGTGAGGTAATCTGAAGTTGGGAATTGCCCTTCTGTTACTCACACCTACCTCCTTTGACAACCACATTAGTACTAGCATTCTTATGTAAACAGACAACACCACAAATAATAATGCCTGTCAATGTGCGGGTAATAAGAAGGCTTAAATAAATCAACTGAAAAAGAATATGTTAGTAAAGCAGGCCAGTACTACCAGAGTGCTCCTGCCTCTTTCAGCTACATTCAAGTACCATAAAAAAAGTGCTTAAGGCACACATTTATTTTGTCACTTCAACCTCTAATAATTCATGTTAATTGCTAAATCTGATAAATATTTGCATCAGCAGATTCGATAGAAGGCATTGGCATTAGGGAATGTCAGAACAGAAGACAGTGAAAGTGTACATAAGAACTCTCAACAAGAAAAGAAAAACACTCTCCAGGAGACTGCAAAGACACCATCTCCATGGGAATGTAACCTACCTGGCAAGTCAGCTGGTTTCACAGGGACCAAATGCCTTTTGCCAGTGCAATAAGGACTGATCTACCTGATTAGGAAGTAGGTGTGACAAGCCTAAAAGGGAGTCACAGTTATCCCTCTGCAGCTGTGAAAAACTGTGTGGCATGGTGTCTTGAAGCCAACAGCATGCACACAGTGTAAGAGAAAATGCAAGGGAGGATGTCCTTCTTGGCAGGATTGCTGAGACTACTGTCCTTCCAAGTTCAGGATTTCCAGGTGCAGCCAATTCAAAAAGGTACAAAAGTCTTCCTTAAATACAGCTTTCTTTTTCCTTTCTTTCTTTCAAAGAAATGTCATATTGACACTTCTTGTCAACAATTATGACAGTAATTTGATGTCCAGTTGAGACTGCTGCTGCAACTGGCACCCATGATGGAAAAACACAAGGACTTTTTGGACTATTTATGCATTTCATAGTGTCCTGTGCTTGTGGCAACAAAGCACACAGACAAAGTCTGAGTACATTCAGGTTACCTGATTTAGCTTACAAATCCCTGCATCTTATAAACACAAGCCTTTAACTGTACACAAAAGCCAAGCAGGCTTTCAGCATCTTACACTCAAAGGAAACCAGTGGTCTTCTTCCAAAGTAATATTACTCCATCAGCAAGGTGTAAAAGGTGAGTAAGCCTAACAAGCAGACCACAGTGAACAAAGTCAAACTATATTTGACTGAAAGACCAGGATGAACACTAACTTAAACTAATCATCACCAGCTAACATCACTGCCATCCTGCTATGAACAACTCGACGTTTCCTCGATGCACTATAGCAAGATCCCATCATAGTATGACACTGTTGATGCCTCACAAAACAGGTTCCATTGCACATTGCCATGCAAATCTGACAAACCTTACTTTTTTGACACCTGGAAAATCAAGTTTTTCTTACTGAACACCAGCTATTATGAGTGCTTCAAATCAGACTAAAAGGGACATCAGCACTACAGGAAATGTCACTTGCTTTTTTTGTAAAATTTTTGACAAATTCTCCCCACTCTCAGTCATCATCCATTAGAAACCAAAAGCTTCTTCCACCTCCTCTGTTCTTGCAGAAAAACAACAAAAGGAAGTGTTCGTAGCGTTCAGTGGAAAATTACCACAGTTAAGGAGTGCAATCACAGAGTTTAGGATTTAGAGTCAGAATCTGGTAGAAGGGAGTGGGGGAGGACGCTTGGAAAGAACTTTATCAGTCACAGATTTGTTGGGCCAAAAAGCAGCTGCACAGTCATCTCCTACCTATCATAGGCCACAATCATTTTCTGGACCTTGCAGCAATTAGTTTTACAGTTTAATAAGAAGATTTGTGCCTTATTTCTATTTGGAACATGTTTAATATTACCTTCGAATCACACGATCAGGCTTTTGTTTGGTAGATGGTATCCATGACCACAGTTTTCCAATAGAGGTGCACTATAATCCATTCATACCTTAATCTGAGTGGTGATAACCAAAACAGAGTTCCTGAGGTTAATCAATATTTACACAGTGTTAGTCATTTATCTGCAAAGGCATTAGAGTATGTTTCCTTAACAGTGGCACTTCAAAGGGGTCTAGTTAGGATAAGTCTCTCTTTTACCAGGTACTAACACCTCTAGAGTGCTGGACTCCAGCACCTAAGAAGTAGTAAGGTTTTATACTACATGGTTTTCAGAGGTGGAAAAGTCATGAATGGCAAGTTGGTTTGGTTTTGGAGGTAGTAGTGGTGGTGTTGTGGAGGGGGCATTTCCAGTGTTGCTCACTCCTTGCAGTTTGGATGTACTTGCTAACCCCTACATTTTGCCAAACATGGATAATGCAACCACATAACTCAGAGTAGTGGAAGACCACTTTTGTGCTCTCCCTTGGAAAGACAAGGCAAAATAGAATACAGTAAAGGCTCAGACACTACTAAATAGGAACAGAAAGATCTTCCTAGTGAAAACCTTCTAAATCTAAATTTGCCTCATCATAAGAAGTATTTACCTGAAAAGTGAGGTAGGTCTTGTCTCTCAAATGGGAACTGTGGTGTGTGGTGATGTGCCTGTCACTGCTGCTAAAGATGCTGCCTTTGCAAATACTGAGGAGGGAATTGTTACAAGGTGTAAGACCAGCAAAGACTCGCTTCACTACAGACACCCAGTAAGGATCACAGCCCAGTCCTGTTGGTTTACACAAGGTTGTCAGCTTTTGTCGAATGACAAACAGGCCTGTGTGGGAGGGAAAATTACTATTCTGGAGGGACCAACACCCACCATCACCTACAGTAATAATTTTATAATCTCTGTTAGTTAAAGTAATTACTTTTTTCCCCAACTTCCTCCAACTTCAGAGATATAAACCATGCATTCCAGAAGCAACAGCACCGAAAGCCCAACCAGACCAAAGCTGAGCCAGTCACGGCCAAAAGATCACCCTAAGGAAGAGGCTGGTTGCAGTGGGAGAGCAAATGTGCAAAGGTGGCAGAAAGAGAAGGACGAGGGAGCCCAAGCCAGTACAATCCTAAGAAGCCCTAAGGCAGAGAAAAAACAAAGAAGTTCTTTCAAGAAAAGGGAAGATCTCTCTCGCGATGACTTGCTATTTCTTCTTAGTGTCCTAGAGGGTGAATTACAGGTAATGTATTGTCCTATTTTACATTTCGAATTAAAAGATATCCCCAGCCCCCCATTCCCCCATCCACCACAAAGCCCAAACTGCTTTTATGTCAAGGAAACACCTGACCTAATTTGATTCAGGACAAATATGAACTGCAAAGTACAAAACCCCCCTAAAATTATGGGAAATGTGATCTTTATACCCCACGTAACTTCTCAAAGCCAAGAACTCGCCAAACTTCCCAGTTGTGCTGCCCCATTTTAAATATTTTGAATACAAAATGTTTGTCGCTGTAAAACTGATATGAAGAACATATTACAGACCTTTAAGATCTTTTACTAAATTATTTCTTATCCCCCCTCTCCTGTGAAGTCATGAGCATTACTCCCTATGAATCAGTATGTGCCAGACTGAAAGAAGTAACTTGCTCAACAGTATTCTAACATCTTTTGCTAGAAAAATAAACATAGCCATTTTATTTCCCATAATATGAAGCATAAGTGTTGCATGCCACTTAGCCCACAAGACACTGGATTTTGAAGAGAGAGCATTTTCCTACCTAGAAAAGGAACCAGCTGTCAAGTGGTAAATGATGCCTAACCTGGTCAAACGTAATTGCAGGAAGTGGGAACCAGATTTCCAGTGAGCAAGTAAAATATTTCTGTGACAGGCTTATTGCACAGAAGTAATGAAAGCCACTTTAAAACTGTTCACAGGCAGAGGAAAAAGCAAACTGGCCAAAGTGGTATAAATGGGTGCAGCACATGGTTTCAGAGTTTATTACCTAAACAGTGCCTGGGTAGTTCTATTCTTAACATATGTGTATATGTTTATGTAATAACACATACATGCTTAACAGAACACACATGAAATATAAATATTTAATAGATGTACCAATCTCTGAGGGGAGGTCCAAGGCAAACTTCTACAGATTGTTCCATTATGCAAACAGAACAACTTCCATGTTTGCAAAATATTTCTCTCCTGCTTACTTGGCCTTTCTTAATTTAGATTAAAATTCAGATGTCACACACTCCTCCAGAACAGTTCTCTCTTCCTCTCAGTAAGAGAGTTTTTTTAAATATATAAAAATATATTTATTTATATTACACGCACATTCTTCATTACACTTGTGTAATATAAATATATAAATATATAAATACACACACACTTCAATTCTTAAGATTTAAAACTGGAATACAGTGAAATGAGAAACTAGAAAACAATGAGTCTAACATGAACACTTTAAATCATGTCTGAAATTCAAAACGAAGCATATGAATGAAAAAGGTAAGAAGTCACTTTTTATTCCTAATTTTCCACCTCCTGTAATGCCAAGTTAAATCTCTGAAGATCAGCTGTCAATCCAACTATAATTATATTTTTAAGTTAGATGCCATTACTTTCCAAATTCCAGAACATTTAAGATGCACAAAGATCACTCCTCTACTTTTTTCTCACAATGCTAAGAATTAGAAATAGAGTATTTTGTATTTTAAATTTGTTTAAACAGTCATAAATAGGGATACAGAAGTCTTCCAGCCAAAAGGAGTCAGAGTGAAAGTGTTATCCTTTCCTGATACATCCATCTTTCTGGTTTCCTTCCTTCCTATTCTACCCCTCTAGGATTAGCACATACTTTCTTCTGAGATCATTGCAGACAATGGATGTTTGAGACAGTTCATGCAGTTATGTCAGTCAATGCAACAGAGGCAGGGGGCAACCTCCACCACCAGAGGAGGCAGGGTGGGGTAAAAAGAACAGACATGGAAACATCTGTAAGGGGGTTAAAGAACAGAAGCCATCTGCACCCAAAACATACAGAATGTATAACACTTTCAGGCTTCAAGAAGCATTCTGTCATTTTGCACTAACAATTTAAAGTCAATTTCTAATACTACAAGTCAAACTTTGCCCTGAAATTTTGTTTTATGAATGCTACACACTGGTCCAGTAACAGCAACACAATGTCATCACTAACAAAGTACTTAGGTTTTTGATGAAAGTTCTGAAGATTTTGGAGTCTATACTGAACCAGCGAAATACAAAGATCGATACTTCCCCTTATGCTTTTCAAATGTCTTCACGTTACTATTTTGGGTCATTTTACATACACAGGAATATTTACAATGTTTTTCAGTTTTCTTAAAATCAAAAGCAAAGAGTTAATCTATAAAGACATTTATACATTTTAACAAGACAAAGCCTTGCTTTGTGTTTCTGCAGGCCCAAGATGAAGTTATAGGAGTACTTAAGGCTGAAAAAATTGACTTGGCTTTGCTTGAAGCACAATACGGCTTTGTTACTCCCAAGAAGGTGTTAGAGGCACTCCAGCGAGATGCTATTCAAACAAAGGCTGAGCAATGGCAAGAAGATATCTATGAAAAGCCTATGGGAGAGGTAAGAACAAGTAATTGATATTTAACCGGAGTTCCCACTAAATTCAACAGAAAATATCTCACCCACTTCTGAGGAAGAAAGCAAATGAGCTCTAAATCTAGAATCTAAAACGAGTGTAAGTGACAGCAAAACAAAGTCCAGGGTCCAGTTGGGACCCAAATCTAATGATCCTCACTTGTACTGCAGGCTGGTGGCTTTACACATTGAGAGACATGATTTTGTCTAATTCAAACTCTGGTAATTACCCTTCTATTCCTGAAACCATCTTCTCCCCCCCCTTTCTGTTATCCATATTCACAGCCCATACAAACAGAAGCTTCCCCAATCCCCCTTTGTTCCATGAAGGCCACTGTCAGTAAGGGCCCATTCCGAAGCAATGACACAGTTGCCAACCTTTGCATATCCCAACTCCCACTAATTTGGGGGGAAGTTACAGCTATACCTGCTAGGTCTGAGTAGTTGCTATAATGAGCTGGCATTAGAAACTTCATCCAGGCAGGAATCTATTATTCTCACATTACACCTAAGTAACCTTTAGTTTAATTACACTGCTGCAGCAGCCCTCATACTTTCTGAACAATGTTATCTGATTAATTTCTGCCCTGCAATGCAAATCACTGGATATTAAAACCCCTTCATATTAGAATATGTTTTTTTATCCCAGGTAATTGCCTCCAATTCACATAAACATTTTTTAATATGCTGCTCAGTATAAATAAACATCATAAAACAAAAGCAGAAACTACGAATAAAATTCTCCTACCAAAGGTTGTTCAAATTTTCTGACCAGAAATGTACCTAAGGATACAGAGATCATTTCAGGAAAATTATAGGAGGCAAAAGGTCAACACTCATTCAGAAGCTCAAAGGTTAAAATCTCTGGATATAATCTGAAACAGATAAAGTTCAAGTGTGAAGGTTAATTTATTTTACAACATTGCAGCATTATGTCACAGAAACTTTGAGCACAAATGGAAATAATTTGAGGAGAAGTCCAAAGAAGTTTGAAAACACAAGCTCAGTCTGTTACTTTACATGTAAAGTTTATACACACTTGTTCCTTCTTACACTTAATGGCAGAAAAAGAATTTCTAACACCATTGGATTTGGCAGTTTCAGAAGGTAAAGGTAAATATCCTGAGAGCACGTGAAAGGCTAGAAGGACCACTGCCACTCCTTGGTCTTGATAAACCAAGGATGCTGTAGTAGGTAGGCATTCCACAATTTCAATTTCAAAATCCCCCTAAATTATGTCAGAAATACATTTAAGGGTTTTTTTGTATTTTTAAAACATATATGAAAATCAAAGGAGAGATGAAACCAGCCACAAAGTCTGGGAACAGACCATTTAAATTCCCCCTTTGCCACACCTTTGTTTCTGCCTGTGCATCTCACTCTTGACAGTTTAGTCTGGTAGCCCTGAACACAGAGTATCTTCCCATAAATCAAGTGAAAATACAATGAATTTCAGAAGGCAACTGCAGGATTTCCAGTTCTTTAACATTCTCTCACAACTCTCTCATATATTCTAATCTTTAAGTTTCTTGGTAAATTTGGTTAAGAATGTAGTGGGAAAATTTGGTGACTGCACTCATTGGGAACAGGATTCATAGGTGAAGAAATGTAGCAAATTAGAAAACAGCAGTAATACATCTTCCTTTGCAAAACGTACGAGGAGTGTGACAGACTAAAATCATGTCTTCCCTTCCTACGAGGAGAGTTTTTAAATTTTTTTTAAAAAACTGAGGGCTTTTTCAGTCAAACTTGCTCTACAGCTATTTCTTTCTATCAGATAAGATTACTCTTCTTCCTCACACTTGAGGGGCATAACAGAAAACAGGCTTTCATTTCGTTTTTGCTTCTGACTCAAAGCCCTGAAAAGGTTTTCCAACTTTGCACGGTTCAAATAACGGAGCCAGTTATTCACAAAAAGATCTGTCTTCAGATCAACTGCCACTTCTCTTGAATAGAAAATAAAGAGTATTCAACGTTCTAGTAAATACAGAATAAAAATATAAGAATCATTTTCCCACACTCAAAAATAACCAGGTTTTTTTTTCCTAAAGAATCAAAAAAATACCAGAGAAGGTAATGTAGGAAAAAAGAGATAAAGAAATAGATACTGCAGAATTTATGGTGTCTTTTTCCCATGTCTCAAATCTTCACAGAATTAGAAAGCAGATTCTGGTTTCTAACTCTCCCCAGCATCCAATAATGCAGTCAAAAGATAAAAAAACTGGGTGCTTCACTATTTGAAATGGGATGAACAATAACTCCTATGACTTGGAGATCTCCTTAAAAGCAGCGAAATTAGATGAAAGCCTATATTCTGCATCCATTAAGAATAATTAAAAACATAATCCATTTTTAAAGGCCAATCTACTTGGGGAAAGATGCACCCTCATCAGCCTTCTAACAAAGTATATCTGACTGTATCCTCACAACATCATCTAAGTGTTGGTCAAAACTTTCCAAGGATGACAGCTGTAGAATACCAATAATTTAGTCATAGGAAGAGCCTGTTGACAATGCAGCATTTGGGAAAAGAAGACCAACATATCTGCATGGAAATTTGGCTCACCTAGGGTTGAAAAAGGCAAGTGCTCCCATAGTCTCTGGTAATCCCAAGCTCAGGGTTATACACCAACAAACAATGACCATGAGAATATTATTACCCTGAACTTTGGATAAAGAAATGTAACACTACAAAACAGTCTAAAAAGAGAAAGATGAAGAGTTCAGTTCCAATGCAATGGCTTTGAGATACACCACCCTAGTTTGACTTCAGACACGAGTTGGTGGCAAAATGTATTTAAACTATTAAATTTGTGTGAATTTTTAGCTTGCTGAACTATTCACAGTTACGTAAGGCTATGCCTCTTATTTTCCATTGTATTGTACAGCATGTTCAAGTATTAATTCTAGCGAAAAGCCCATATGGTTAGCAAGAACAAAACAACAAATCACTTAATTAAGATTTTATCACTTTAATTTTCAACAGAAGACATTTATACTGCTGCTTATTAGTCCTCTGTGGTTTTTAGCTAAGAACTGGTGTAGCCTGAGTAATCTTGTGTGTGTTCATATAAATGGATATTTCTGCACAGACAGATTTAGCATTTGGCCTGAGTAATTGAGAACTCCAGGCTCTTGGAGATGCTTCTGTGTGAGGATCTCACACTAGCAGGGGTTCACACAACTTCTCTCTCTTCCCTGCTGGATACATGGGAGTCAGCCACAAGATCCCACAGGGAAAATGCAAGAGTCAAATCTGCTCCCCAGGAAGGTGCCCTTATTCTGTAGAGGAATGCAACAGAGTTTCCCAACAAACCACACAGAACTGCAGCAACCCAGTACCAGGCTCTGCTTGGTGCTGCAGGGAGGGAGAGCTGCTGCACAGGATCACACACAGGTGTCACAAGGCCAAGTGCCCATACCCGTTACACATCTTATATGCAGATCTCAAGTGTCTGCATTAATTGTGATGTAGGATCTGCAGTCTCTCCAATTCTCTTCTCTATAACCCACCTGTACCAGGAGACAGTCCCAGCACTTCTTTCCATCTCTCCCAAATGGAATCACAAGCTCACACTCTCCACCTTGTTCCCATCCACAACAGCCAAACACCCATGGTAGAACTCATTTGGCAGCATGCTGGAAAAGGAACCTAAATGCATCTCTTAATTTGAGCAACAGGAGAAAACTGCAACATGCAAACTGCTTTAATGCAGCAGCTTATTTACTTTTCTCTCTTACCCTTTAATATAAGCAGGTCTCCCCAGGACACTACTGTTCTTTTTCCCAGTTTAAAATTCCTCGTTCCACTTCCCTGCCTTGAATACACACCTCACCCATCCCAAAAACCAGTTTGTAATCCAAACCGGTTGTAATCTCAACACTGACAAAAGCACTACTGTGAAGTGAAAGGCACTGGCATCACTCACTGAGAGCTGCAAAACAAAAACCTGGAGTTACTTCTTGCATACATGCTGCTTGGATTACTGCTTCACTTAACCTCTCGTAGCCATTCAACAAATACTCCAGAGTTAACAAAATATACTGAACCTATAAAACCCTCCTGGCAAGTCCCACATCCTTTACACCCAACAGTGCAGAAGTAGAATTATTTTATACTTGGTTACTGTTGCTTGGTTGATGACTAACCCCCATCCCCATCAAGCATTTACATGTTCAGAACCAGGCTCATTTGATTTATGATCAGCTTGTAGCCACAAATTTCAGTTTTCTTATGATAGCAATTTACACATCCCCTTTGATTACTACACGTACTTTGGACTACTTTGGACGTGGTGCTCCAATCCACACTAATGCTTATCTCTACTTTTTAACCCCATTCATGCAGACTGCCTGCCAAAAGCAGTTGGAAGTTCAAGCCTTTGCCTTCTTCCAATCTGACCTCACACTGAGGGCTGTGACCAGCAAGCACTCATGCAAAGCTGATGCCCAGCTCATGTCAATTTAAGCAAGACAGGGCCACAGTTGCAAGCAGCACTGCATCAGAACTTTATCAAAAAACAGGAGGCAGGTTTGCTTTCTGAGAACAGTGTAAATTCACCTGACAGCAGGATCTTTAAAAAGATAAGGATCAGAAACTCAGGTGACGGGTGCTTCGTGCATCTACAATAGTTGTTCCAAAAAATCCCTCCAAAATCTTGGGCGGGGAGGGGAGGGGGGAAAGGTCAATTAAACCTCTTTCTGGTAAATTAGTAGCTGAACAAAAGTTTCAATTTGTGAAATTTCCACTTATGCTAAAATAAGGGAGAGTGTGAAGAAATTAAAATGGACAGTTTTCTTCAACCTGACCTTTTAAGGCAATGCAGATCAACCTCTGTAAAAGATACTGAAAACACAGCCAGAAGATTACTGTATAAGGTGACACTTGCTTACTGAGAAAGTTTGCACATGCAAGGGTTTAGGTAAGAAATGTTCTTCCAGGAGAGGTCCTGCTTCAGGATCATGATTCCAGAAAGCTGCTGCTATAAAGTGTACAAATTATTAGTGAGCAAGATGAAAAAAACCTAAATGATCTGTTGTAAGAGCACCACAAACCAGCCAAAACAACAAATTTGTGTATTTCTTGATCAGGCATGAAATTAGCTCAGCTATGTTACAACAGAAAAGACTCTCTCTCAATGTCATAAGTTGAAAGTGCAGGAAATTTTCAAAATGGTCCACATTTTTGTTAGAATATTCTGGACTCAAACTATTTTCAAAGTCTTGTCAGCAGCTCTTTTTTCTTTTCATAGCAGTGTCAAAAAAAGTTAACAATTATTTAGGAGAAACATAAGAGAATATATATAGCTTTAAAAAAAAAGCTGAGATAAGCAGGGGGAGACTTGGAAGTCTACACAGAAATTGATGATATCCTCACTTATTCGAGGAACTCATGTTCAGGCATTCCAACTCTTCCTGTCATCATTTCTACTGGCCAAACTGTGAATAAACATGAGGAAAAGATAATTAATCATACTACTTGGAATTAAATTGTCCAAAATAAGCAGTGGTCCTAAGAATCTGAAGATCCAGTGCTTCTTGTAGCACATGGAATTCCTTGCGGGAGAAACATCAGAGAACCAGAACCAGCTTTGCTTCCCACACTGCCCGTTTGGGAATTCTTTCCTATTAATAGAGTGAAGCACTACAATCAGATTGACCTACTAGAATAGACTATAGTTAAAAGAAGGCATTGGGCTGTGAGCTGAAAATTTCTCTTTTCCAAAAAGGTTACAAGGATTCCTATGACCTGGTGAAGGAGTCTCCAAAGGTGAACAAGCAGGGAAAAAAGTTGCTCACAAATACAGACTCTTCCCAGGTCTTTAGTTGGCCTCCAGTGATCCTCCCCGAAACTTCAGCTACATCAGTAATGTCTAAAGAGGAAAACCACTTATGGTTTCATATGCACACTTGCATAAGTCAGTCACATTCTGAATTCAAAATTATAACAGAATCCCCAGAATTATCTCTAAATTTGAGGATATTATTTAATAGTTTAACAGCATAGGTCCAGCAAACAGTTATGCCAACAACTGTGTGGTTCAGAAAAACTAAAACCAATTACCAAAACCTAAAATACATTGTTTGACTTAAAGTATTGCTATATAACAATGTTTAGAAAAATTGAAAATTTTCCACTGAAAGGGTGGTCAAGCATTGGAATGGGATGCCCAGGGAGGTGGTGGAGTTGCCATCCCTGAAAGTGTTCAAGAAATGACTTCATGTGGCACTTAGTGCTGTGGTTTAGTTGGCATGGTGGTCTTCAGTTAAAAGCTGGACTGGATGACCTTGGAGGTCTTTTCCAACCTTAATGAATCTATGATTAGAAGTCAAGCAGAAATCCTTGAGGAAGGGGAGGGAATTTGATGTTCAAAGTGTGCTATAAAGGCGCCATCTGTAAGACGAAGATCTCAACAACATGTGCAATTTGAGGAACAAAACAGGAAATGACGCTGTTAAAAGAAATACTTCTAACTATTAAAAAATTTAGCACTTACTTATTCCAGAAACCCAGAGCCATGCTCAGAGTAAGCACAAGAGACAGGATTGTTTTCCACTCTTGGCACTACCATGCATTTACTGTCAAACCAGAAAACAGCTTTTTGATGTACCTGCCTACCCTCACAAAAACAATTTAATGCTCTTATTTCCTCTGCAGCTACAAGTGAGGCAGCTATTTCTATTCAACCAAAGCCAGTCATCCACTGTGTGAAGCAGTGGACGAGGCTACTTCTGCCAAGACATCTGGTTTCTCTACCACAATGATCAATGAGAAAAGCACAGCCCTGGGAACAGTAACTGTTAATTAGTAGCTGTTGAGGAACAGTCATGGCAGGAGGAGGAAAAGAAGGCAACTGAGGGTCCTGCAAAACAGTACCTTATTTTTCAAATTTGTCAGAATTTGACTGGCAGAATTAAATAAACCTTTCCAAACAGATACCAAAAGACCTGGCCATTAGGCTATAAGTGCAGTTTTTATTATTATGCCACTCTTAAAATTTCTCAATAATGAAGCAAAGCAAAAGTTTCAAAATATTTCAGGAGTTTTTGCTTTTTTTGTAGCTTGATAAAGTTGTAGAGAAACAGAAAGAAACTCACAGACGAATGCTGGATCAACTTGTAATGGTAGAAAAATCACACAGACAGACTCTGTATGAACTAGAGGAGGAGAAGAGGAAGCACAGCAAATACATGGAAAAAAGCGATGAGTTTACAAACTTGCTGGAACAAGAATGTGAAAGGTAAGGCTACCTCTTGCCACAATACTAAGAAGTATGTACAATTTAATATTACATCTAAGGATCTGTCTGCTTTCTTACCCTGCACCCACTAAAAATCAGAAATATTTGCGGAGTTATCTTTTGAGAGTTCAGCTGTGAAAACATGACTAATACTTTTAAATAATAATAATGCCTACATCTCCATGAGCAGGTGAGGTAGGATAAACAGTTGGCAGATTCTTCAGCACTTTTGCAGGATGACATGGATGTTACACTGCAGAGAATACAGGGAGACATGCAAATGTATAAAGTTACAACAACAAGACACGGGTGAACCTTTCAGTGTGTTTTAGATGCTCGGTATACACTACAGTATGTAAGTAACAGAATAACAGAAATCAGGCAGGCAGCCTTTGATGGCAGAAGAAAAAGACATGAGGAAAAGTAGGTGTTTGTCAGACAGAGAGAGGAAGCAAAAGTAGAGGATACTTTACGGAAAGCTTTGAAAATAAGAATTACAAAGTTCTCATATCAGGATTAGCGTAAACCCCATAAATCCAACTTTATTATAAAGTGTAACCTAAAAGCATCACAGCTTGTTTAAGCACAGTCTTACAATATCAATACCAATTCTCAGAAGAATTTAACAATTTAATATCATTTACTGTCTTTAAAAAAAGCAACTTTATCCTGTGGCTTTTCTGAATCTGCAGTAAAACTGAACACATCCTAAGGAAAAAAATATCAAAGAACATTTCCTATTCCCTGGATAGCTAGTCCAGAAGATAGGAGAATATTGTCTCAGTTTCCTTTCGCTTAGGAACAGATGGAAATGTTTGGGTGTGAGAATGTCAAGCCTATTCTAAACTCACATTATGCATAGATAATTCTTCCTTTGCTTCGCCTGTGTAACATCATGTTCTACGCATTTTGGCAATGTTCGCACTCTGCACTACACCTCTCTCCTGCACGTCTATCAAAGACAGCACATATGCTTCCCACCAAGTACCCAGCCATATTTATGGCTTGAAACTACAGAGGCTGGGGAGAAAAACCCTTTGTTTCCCAGAAAAAATGTACACAGATGCAGGCAAGCACAAGCACGCAGAGAAGAGCACATACTGTGAACTGTTCTTGTGAAACATCATAGTATCAGGAACCAAAGCCTGAGATCAATGGAAGTGTTCCTCTCTGCTCTCTTCTCAAAATCTCAGACACTCACCTCTTAGAGCTAAACAGCTGCTAAAAGTGGGAAAATGTTACATCAGATGCATGTGCTCACACTGTGTGAAAAACTGCACAGAAGAAAAGACTAAGCACCAGAGTCGTTGCAATTTATTTATTTATTTTTAAACAGGATAGGCATGGGATTAAAACTCTCTTCCCTGCCCCTTCTCCATAACCTTCCCTCCCCCTCCACTCCCCTTCCCCTTCCCCAAGAAGATTATAAAACATTTACCACTATCATCTACAACATTTAGTCTAGCTGCCTGGAAAATGGTGGGAAGAGGGAGGAGTACTGAGGTGTCTAATGAGACCTTAGAGGATGTAATAATAGATTTCAGATTAAGTCTCAATTTTCGTAATCTTTTTTTTTTGGAGAACGTATTTTATGTGGAAAAGCTTAAGGGGGTGTGATGTCACATGTTGAGCTGATTCCAAAATGTTTGCCAAGTAATGTCGCCATCAAGATCTCCATGCAATTGCCTGCCATAACTAAAAAAAAACAAAAAAACCAACAAAAAACTCCAAAACCAAAAAAACACTCAGCAAGTTAAGGCACAGTTCTTTCTACATTAACCTGCCTGACACAGAAAAGTGACCTTTTCTTCCATTTCAAAAACCTTAGTCCAATTTTAAATTTTCTCAGGACGTGAATTTTGCATTTGGATTAGGAACAAATAGAACTCTACCAAAAGTTTCATACATAAATCAATGACAAATGAATCTTTGTTTACTCCCAATTCAATTCAATTCCCCAAAAAAAAAGGCAGAAAAGCAGTAAGTATTCATCAATGAATTTACTTTTTGTTTTCAGCCAGAAGCAATATTCTCTATTGGATGTGTGATGGATATATAGTATTCTTAACAGTATTTCAGATTCAAAGCAAAATCCCGAACTTCAATTAGTCAAAAAAGTATCTTGCTTTTATCAAAGAGCAAGGGTACAGTATATGCTAAAGATATCCTTCAAAAGTATAGAATGTATGTAAGCCAAAGAAGGTACATGAATAATATGTGACTATGTGATCAAAATAAAAAAAACTTAGACGTTATGAAACACTGATGCTGAAGTTCTGAAAACTACTACTAATAGCAAGAAGAAAGAAACTATTAGTCAGATCCAACTCCTACGTACTGTTCTGGATACATTCACAAATAAGACAGAAACAAAGCATTTCCTCTTTCTTGTATATGGGCTTAGGAAGAACTAAAAAATTCTTAAATGAAAATTTTAGTGATGAATTTATGTTTTACATAAACTAGGCAACCCTCCACCCCTAGGGCCTTTCTGCTGCCTTACGCCCTTCATTGACGACATTTCTCATTAAAAGTTACTGTTTGGATTGTGCAAAATATTAAGAGTCTTCCATGACTCAGTAAAACCTCTTCACCTTAAACAATTGAGACTCACTTTGACTTCATAATAAGGAAACAAGACTCTTTGTCCTCAGCAGTTGCACATTGTCAGATTTGGGAGTTTAAGTTTTTGACAGGACTAGTGACAGTTTTCAAGGAATGAGAACCAGATTAGCATTTAAGGTTAACCCTTTAGCATTTTAAGCATTCTTCTTGTTGGCAGCCAAAACTAATCCTCCATAGGCTTGCTGTAGTTTCGAGATAGAGACTGTTCTTCAAACTGAACAGAGTGTCATTACTTACAAGAGACATTTACCAGTAAACAAATGATGAAATCATACTACCATCATTATACTGATTCATCTTCAGTCATATGTACTTTTAACACATGGAGACACTGATAAGCCTCTAGCAGATAAGAAAAGGTTCTGAGGAGAAAAGGAGACCAGTGGACAACAACTGGATAGGTCCTTCCTGCACTTCAACGTGAATTACACTCTGTAGGTGTGCAGATCAGACAGGAACACCAAGACAAACCACTTGTGCGTGGCAGTGTACTAGACAAAGTCAACCAGAGTCCAGAAGGGAAATATTTGTTGCATTGTTGGAGCCTAAAGAAATACAGCACTAAAGCTCATAGTAACATAATAATAAAAAAAAAAATCCAGAAGCTAGATACACAGACTACAAGCTGCACATGAAGAACTGCAGTATAAAAGCCACTGACCTTGTTTAGAAGTGCTTGCATTTCATGGGGTTGGAGGATGGAGATCAGGATTAAGGACTAGGAGGAAAACTTACTTTAGATTGTAATGCAGATTCCACTGTATCTTCCCTGAGGATGTACCCATTTGTCCAAAAATACTAATCCACAATCTGTATTTTTGCAGCACAGTTAAATAATACAAGCTGCTGTTTTAAAAAACATTTTATGAGGGTAAAATATGAAACTAGAAGGTTTTCCAGATATGCATGTTCCTGGTTCGAAAACACATGGCGCATGTGTGCAAGTACTTACGCATTTACACAGTACTCTCTACCCCACACCAAAAATAAGAAACAAAACAGCAAAATAGTAAAATGTTTAGCATTTACACAGTCCTTTTCCACTGCAAATCTCAAGGAGCTTTAAATATTATGTAAGCACATTTATTCCCCATTTTCTAATTACTGAAAGACATCACGAGCACCTGGATGAAAGGAAGAAATGTTCCAATGTATAGGTGTGTTCCATCTTCAAACTTCCTTTATACTATATAGCCCCAAATATACAAGGGGTAAAGCTTTATTATGAAGATACATGGGTTAAATGACTGAATGTTATTCAACAGGACAGGGAAAAATATCAGTTTGTTAATAAGCAATGTAAATAGATTTTTAAAGGCAGTTATGATAAATGTTGCTCTCAGAATTCAAACATTAGCACAAAACTCTGTAGGTTGGTATAGAAGCAATCAATAAGATCTTAAGTTTAAGGATCATCTACCAATATGAGAGTCCTTTTCTATAGGGAGGAAAGCCCTAAGTTTTTCTTTTAGCTCTGAATTCACACTGGCAAAGGTCATCTAGAGAACCTAGTCCAAAGAAGAACATCATACAGTTGTTTACAGACAACAAAATCCTAACGTTTCCTAAATGCAAACTTATGCCCTATGCTTTAGGCAAGTGAAAAACCCTAAGCCAGTCACCTAACCATTCCACTTCAGACTACAGATGACAGAACACAGATGTGTTCTTAACACATCAAGTAAAGGGCCTTCTCGGTGTTAAGGTCATCATCATCATGGCCAGTCTTCGCGAACGAAGATTTGGGAAAGGTCTTTACCCTTCGAGCCTGCGCAGTGGATTTTTTAGGTGAGACAGTGTGTGCTGTACTGAGCCCACCCTTTAATCATAAGGTTAAGATAAAAGTAATAATTATACCCATCTGAGGGGTTGGCATTCACCAAGCACAAAAAAATGAAACCTAATATGCACAAGTCTCACACCTGTAGTCTTTCTCATCTAGCAGAACACCACAAAACACTGTGTTTTTTGCTCCAACTGCTGCCACCCTCAAGGTCAGTCAGTTAATGTGACCACCTGTTGAGTGATACAGGTTGGAACTGATCTCTGGAGATCTCCAGCACAACTTGCTGAGTGTAGGGCTAACTTCACAGTCAGATCAGGTTGCTCAGATCCTTGTCCAGCTGACTACTGAAGATCCCCAAGGGTCAGTGATTCTGCTGGCTGCCTGGGGTCCTTATGCAGTCTTAGGCATCTTCATCAAAAGACCTTTTCCCTCAGTTTCATTGTAGGCATCGTTCTGGTCTGGCTTCTGTGGAATGTTTAACCAAAACCGCTCTCAATAAGAGATTAATAATGTCTCTTCTGGCAAGGCTCTGAACCTAATCCATCTTCACTGTCTCTGATCTTTCAGCTGCCTTGGGCACAAATGAGCT